TTTTTAATTTTGGTGGAAATGGCACTCATAAACTATTTGATATAAATGAAAAAAAAAACATTGTATGAGTCTTTTATTTGAATGATAGCTTACCCATTTTACACGCAGAAGTACTCATTTTAAAGCTTATTTTGAGCACTATAAAAACCCATTTTTATATATAGCTTAATTTTGTTCCTAGAACACTATACAATAGCAATTTATTAAGATTTTAATTGATATAATTTTGTTCATTACATGATTTTTGTTAAAATGTATATTTTTGAAAATATTAGCAAAAAAACATGAAAAACGCAAAAAAGAAACAATATTTCAATAGCCAGTAACTTGAAAAGTATTTGCATTTTTGAAAAACATTAAAACATTTTTATCTTATAATTAGTTTTTTTATCGATACCCAATGTTATTTTGAAAAAAGTAAAATTATACCACTAAGAGTCTAAATTATTTTCACTTTTGAACTTGAGAGGAAGTTGAACCTAATTCCAAAATTACAAACGAATTGGAAAACAGTAAAAAAAAAATCAGACCCCAACGCTCCATTGACTTGAGTAAATATTTCGTACCCAATGCCAAACATATGAATTTTTGACACAATGAAACTTCTAAATAATTTTTTGAATAAGTAATTTTTTTATATTGTGACTTAGCAAAATAAGGCAAAATGACTGCATCAGTTAAAAAATAATAATCTGACAAATTGAATATGTTTGAGCGTAATCACTTATGGCTTGCGTCTCCATTGCACGAATTTGTACGGCGAACTTGTTCGCAAAGTGCGCGCACGTTGAGAACACGATTCGCCGTGGGCGTTCGTGCAATGGGGAGGACCCATTACAGTCCACAACCGTCAGACTGCATCACCTGTCAGACGCATGTTATATTATTTGCATCTTATATTATTTTTCGGCAATAATAATGTAGACTTTACACTTTCCTTAATTATAATCATGAATTTATTATATTTTAATATTGTCTTAGCCTATAAGTGAATGGAAATGTTTGGCAAATGACAGTCTTCATTTGTTTTTAATGTCAAAGTATGCCTTAAAATGATAAGCGTTTTTTTTGCAAATTTTTCCATTTATTTCTACAATCTAACCTTTCTATGAATCAAAAAATCCTAGAAAATTCTCTTAACAAACTTCATAGAGATTTATGAAAATCCGAATAATAGTTTAGGAGGATTAACCTTCATACCCCATTACAGAAGAATTTTATATATCAGATATATATCAGGGTGGCCCTTAATATGGACATTTTGGAATTTCCTTGCTCCCAAGGGCTCAAATTGTTCCAAATTGATAAAAAACAATTCTCTGAAAGTTTTAGCTATCAATATTAACTTTTAGATAGTGCGCAATTCAATCAAACTTCGTATGGAAATAGCATGAAAAAAATATTGAAAATTAAAAAAAAAATTGAAAATTAAAAAAAAATTTTTTTTAGGTATAACTTAGCGACAAATGAATTAGAAGTGAAGATTCGTATTATTTTTTATTAAAAATTTGACGATCAGCCAAATTTTTGAAATTTTTTTCATGCTCTTTTCATACAAAATTTTTATTGAATTGCGCTCTATATAAAAGACAAAATTAAGAGCTAAAACTTTCAGAGAATTGTTTTTTATCAGTTTGGAATAAGTATGTTGTATTTTTAGTTGCGTGATAATACTGTACAATTTTTGATTTTTTTTTGAAAAAGTTGTTTTTTTTAAAAGAAAATCAGTTAAATAATAAATATACGTGATATCTTACTATACCACTCTCTCCCCCACGTGATATCTCGTGATTTTTTGTCAAACCTCCCCTCGTGATTAATGACGCCTCCTTACTACGTTTCGGAACTAGGTACGTTCCATCATCAGGTTGTTCTGTCTTTAAATATAGAAAAACAAGATTAATGTTGTGGATTACAGAATAATAAAAAATTTTATAAAGGAATTAATTATGCACTTTTTCTTAAAAAATGAAGCATGAATAAAAGGAAAAAAGTAATAAAAATAAAAAAAAAAAACAAATAAATTGAGAAGCAAAAATTATTTACCTGCAATATTGATTTATATATCCATATCACTATTTTTTATATGTATTAAGCACCAATGAAAATATTACTAAATTTAAAATATTATTTTAAGTTGAGTAACTTTTGCTTAAAAATATGGATTCACTTAACGCAGTAACTATCTGTAATGAATTTTTTGTCACAGAACCAGTTGTGAGCTCCATCAGCCGGGCGGTAATATTATTTTAATGGTCTGCACATTTGTGAATTACGAAAAAGGATATATTTTTAAGTTTGTAAAAGTATAAAGATTTTGTTGCGTTGGACAATACGAAATATATACATACTTACATACATATATACATAAACATATATGTACATACACAGGGCCGGTCCTGCCTTGCATGCGATGCATGCAAAAAATGCGGGCGCACGCCTTAGGGGGCGCCAAAACGAGTTTTGGAAATTAAATTTAAAATATATTATTTATATTTCTTATTATTTATATAAAATCTAGAATACTTAATAAATTATAATAAACAATCTAACTTAACTAGGGATACGGAGACACAAAACGCATATTTATTTTGCAATGTAATATCAGTAGAAACAATTAACCGATTAGTAACTCTGCAAATTAGTAAATAACAGCTTTGTTTATTGCTTAATCTACTTATTCAATTTTTTTTTTTTTTTTTGAAGTTACCGTGAACTTGAAAAGTAAATTAGTGTTCAATTCCATAAGCGCAAACCTGCGAGTGATTAAATTAATTATTGGGCATTATTGACGAAAAATAGCAAGCTGATTTAGTTTAAACAAAATATAATCGGGAAAATGAAAAGTGCTTAGAAAAGGGCAAGTTTATTCCGAAAAATTGAATTGTACCTTTGTTTTTGTTGCGAATGTTTTGCATCTGATGAACTTTGAATGTTGAAGACATGGTTAGGGTTATGGATATGGAACAAATATGAAAAATGGAAGCAAAATTTACTTTGGAACGAAAATCTTAAGATTTTTGTTATACCTAGTGGTGTCCATACTCTAAATTTTATAATAGTTAACTATGCAGAAATATTACATATCACATATAATTAGTTTTTTCCAATATAGTTCAAGAAATGTGTAATTTCTGGTCACTTTTTACTGATTTTTGGACAATACTTCTAAAATACGTTGAAAATTTAACTTTAAAACCTGATACCCTGAATATGACGCGAAAGCAAGGATAAATACAATTCGGCTCTTACGATATCAATAAGGAGAAGTTTACGACGCAATTTTGGATATTGTAAATAATGAAATTAAATTAAATTAAAATTTGAAAAATCCAACATGAAATATGAGTATTTTGATTGAAATTGAAAAGCTAGTTTTTTTAGCTCTCTTGGCATGAGTTGCTCAATAGAATAAATTGCATAATAAATAAGTAAAATGTTTCAAAAACCAAATATTAATATAACACATACGTTAAAAATAATTGGAAATTAAAAAATATTTGATTATAATCAACCCGCGAATTTCCTCGATTTTTTAATAAATAAATTTAAAATCAATGTATTTTATACGCTTTTAGATTATATTTAATTTTTTATGTACTAAATCCAGAATAATTAAAAATATTTTTTTTAAAAATATGTAAATATTTATATAATTTACATGACAAACAATTAAAACAGTTAAAATTTAAAGGGGGGGGGGCGCTAGAAAAAAAGTTGCATGCGGGCGCTAAGGACCCCAGGACCGGCCCTGTATATACATATACATACGTTGCGTTAGAGGTTAGACAATACGACATATATACATGTGTTGTGTGTATGAGCACAACACATACATATATCAATATCAGTATATACACTCAACATGAATACGCATATACATATGTATATGTATACACATACAAACACATATATAACAATATGTCCTTATACATTCCAAGTATAGAACATGTACATACACCCACAAATTCGTTCTAAAATTATTAGTTTTTAATTAAGTTTAGAAAATTGAGATAAGCGTCATGTAAGATATTACGATCTGATCTTTTATTAACACAATTTGACGAATTCAAAAAGATCAAACTACTTTCACAAAAGTCTTTTAAAAGTGCAATCTTCTCTATATAAAATATTAGGCTCAAAACCAAAACAATTGGAATTTTCAATGTAATGGTGGACTAGGGTGCTTGGCATATTTCGGCTTTTATGGTGAATAACACTTAATTCATGTTGTCTCATTCTCTTGTGGATGTATTGCGATGTTTGACCAATGTATTGTTTGTCCCAAGTTTTACAAATGATTGAATAAACTAAGTTCATATTGAATTTGGGAGGGGTGGTTATTTTAATTCCTCAAATAGTTTCTGGTTCAAGCAATTTAGCAAAATAGTCAAAAACGCCTTCAATATATGACATTCTATAATAAATGGGTTTAGTATTGTTACCATAGGAAATCTTAGTGACTTAGAGAGGAGAGGTAATGGTAACATTTTTCAAAATATAATATTTCCAAACATATCGCCCAAATTAAAAAAAAAATTACCATTACCTCTCCTCATATTGGTTATTCATATAAATCTCGGAAGTCTTGGGTGGAAAGGGTTAAATTTGAATTGCTCACCGTATTCATCTAACGTAGGTGATAAAAATGCTAATTCAGTTTTTGAGAGAACGGAGTGTCCACTTTTAATGATTCCAAAAATATCTTATTTGTATTAACGAAATGAAGAACTGATTAAATTTTTGTGCAGGCAGTTACAGATATCCAACGCAAAAAGTAAAAAAAAGCCTTTTGGCGTAAAAAATAACCATTAGTCATATGCACATCTAATTATCAGATCTTTTATAGAGAGTTTACTAATAAGTTCCAATTTTGTATATATTTCTGTGGGTTTCGTACTAATGTTTATCCGTTAGACAGCGACGCGGCGCTTACACGCTTCGATATTTTGTGTCTACTCGGCTAACGTATTTATTTACGCCATTTTATTCCAGTTGATCATGCACTTATTTGCTACATATTTGGATACCCAATTAGTACCTTTGCCGCAGCAGTCAGATGGCAAGCCTTTCTCTTCTCAGTATCTAAGTACTAATATATCTGAAAAGCCTATTCAAGTACCAGGAAAATTCAAAATTCACCAGACTAATCTTAATCCGCCATGCTATATTTTCGTTACGGATACTGCTATCAATGCCCCTTCCAAGGTTTGTTCACAATATAGATAAAGTATTATTAGTACTAATTTGAATAGCTAACTTTAACTTTATTTGTTTCAGGGTCGCAATAATTTATTCCACACATTAGTTTTATTTTTGCATTATATAAGCACTGAGCACAATAGTATGCTTGGACGTGTAAGTTTAGGTCCTGCAGGCATAAATATTTTATGGGTAATCGGCAAAAAATGATGAACGGCATGAAATAATTTGATATGTTTTATTAATTACTTTTATGTATAATTATTCACAATACAAATAGATTTCAAATTAATTGTCATGTATTTTCAATATATCTTATATATAAAATTCTTCTGTAATGGGGTAAGAAAGGTTAATCCTCCTAAACGATTATTCGGATTTTCATAAATCTTTCTGAAGTTTGTTAGGGGAATTTTCTAGGATTTTTTGATTCATAGAAATATAGTTAGATTGTAGAAAAAAATGGAAAAAATTACAAAAAACCGCTTATCATTGATTGACATTGAAAATATTTGAGGCATTGTTTGAAATTAAAAACATATGAAGAAAGTCATTTAGCAAACATTTCCATTCATTTATATGCTAAGACAATATTAAAATATATTTATGACTATGAATAAGAAAAATCTAATGTCTACATTATTATTGCCGCTGAGCTGTGCCAAGTAGTTGAGATGTGCCAAAAATTAAAATAATATAAGATATATTATATATTTCGTGTCGTGTTTTGTCTTACTTTACTAAATCACAATACAAAAAATTATTTAGAAGTTTCATTGTTTTATTTATCTTGATGGATTCTGGAGAATACCACAACTTTAGTACAGACGATTTTCAAAAAACTCATTTCATGAAAAAAAAAATTATTTAAGCACTTAACGGTCTCGCATGAACACTGCCTACTTGATGTATCGTAATGGGCTAATGTGTATATATAATAAATTAATCTTTAACGACCTTTGAGATTAGAAATAAACATGTAATAAACGTCTTTCTGAATATTCATCAAGGGACATGTTATTGTTATATGTTTGTGTTATTTTTAATAGCAATCAATCATTAATTACACTGGATTGTTTTATCTATAATTAAGCAAGAATCCATCTATTTTGTTTTAAACTTTCAGAGTTTTTACATGTATATTTGCTCTAATGATTATATATTGTTGAATTTGTTTTTATTTCCCAGAAATTGTTGAGTATGGATCTCAATTATTTCCATTACACATATATTCTTGTAGTTCATGCATTACTATATAAATGCTTTATTATCAAGAAATCGCAATTTTGAGAAGATGAATTTATATAGTTCAGGAAGGATTATAGTTCAGGAAATAAAGATGTTGCATTGCTAATAACCCCTCTGCAAATTTTTAATTATTTTTTCGCGACCAATTGGTAAGAAAAATGTTAGAGAAAACAAATACAATGCAATCTATTGATGAGTATAATATACAAGCTAGAAGAAAACATGTGGTGGTTGAAAAACTCCATTTTTCTAGCACAAGCTAGTTCTGGGCTCGATCTCAACCTCGACAAGCTCGATATCATACAGTATGATATCAAATTTCCACTTGTGGTCCATGATCTCAAATATAATCTAAAATGGAAATCGCCTAATGAAGGCCTTGCTGCATCAAGTATATGCCAACACTATTAGATATGCGGGGACCAGATGGCGCACTCAATATATGATGAATCTCAATACTACAAGATGGAGCCTAGAATATACCGCGCAAGAGTGAGACGCACAACTACCGACCAGTGAACGGGCAGGGTATAAAACGGGCGTACCTACTGTAATCGACCTCATTTCCACATTCGCCGCAGCTCGGAACGGACCAGTCTCTAGGACCCGGAAGAAGAATAAATCCAGGTTCGAGACCAAGCAACAATACAAATCATATAATTTACTGTATTTACGCAATTGTATGTATACAATAAATATATAATAAATATACATAAACCTACACAATTGGTGACCCCGACGAGTGGATAATCGTTTTAAAAAAAATTTCAAGCATGGATTCAGAAGGTACTTGTTCGAAGTGTTCACAAGAATCTCCTTCAAAGCATATTTCTCAGCTCGACATAATGAAACGAGTATCGGTGAAAATTCCACCATTTTGGGACAACAGCCCGAATCTCTGGTTTTCACAAATTGAAGCACAGTTTGACATTGCAACAATAACCAATGAGAACACAAGATTCTCATATGTAATCGCGAACCTCGAGGAGAAACAGGCTCGCGAAGTGGAGGACGTCATTAAACAACCACCGACAGAAAACCCCTACTCCTACTTGAAGAAAGTACTTATAAGCAGACTATGGGCTTAGAAACCAGAATTAAACAAATCCTCTCTGAAGAAGAGTTAGGAGATCGCAGTACCTTCGACATTTACGTTCTCTTGCTGGCCACACGACAATCGGTGAAAGCATGTTCAGATCACTATGGATGCAACGGCTTCTTGCGTAAATTGCCAGTTGAACTCTGTTCGTAGCCCGAGGTTAAGGCGTAAGTTTTTTTGATCGTATGTTTTAATCCGTGTACGATTCGCTGCTTGCAACTCATAATTTCTCTTAATACACCTGCGGATGACCCTTCGTGGATAGCAGGAGACATCTGAACCCGTATCTATAAGAAACTCAATATTAAAATTTTTGTCAAAAACAAATAGGCGACCTTTAGGGGTTTTGTGATCAGCCGTCGCCTTTATGATCTTTTTCCTCGTTTTTTGTATTAGATGTTTTACGGTACATATTCCAGGAACAATAGATGCCTGACATTTTCTTGCTTTTCTGCCGAATTGATTATGGTACCAACATTTTGTGTATTCTACCCGTTGCCCTCTCGAGAAAAGTGATAGACTAGAAAGTAGATTCTGACCGCTTTTTTATTTCAGAATACAAGAGGACCAAGTAAATAAATTATTAAAAATAATGAAAAAATATTTTGATGCAAACTTACCGGAAGATGTACAGAGTTTGGTACAAAATGGTACTCATCCTACTACCTCTACCATTGAGGATGAGGAGCAATCTGTAGCGAGTAAGAATTAAAATAATAAGTAAGTATTAAAGTAATAAATTATTAAAAATATTGATAACATATGTAGATAAGAACTTACTTACCGCAGGATGAAACTGGTACGTTCAATAGAGAATAGTGAGCTTGCCATTGCAACTACTCAAGATATTCATAATAGTACTCCACCTACAACCTCTGCCATTGAGGATAAGCTGGAATCTTTAGCGAGTAAGTATATTGTTTATCATTATTTTCTTAATAATATCAAGAATTGTACATAAGACCAAAATTTGCTTTGTGTTCCACCTCATGGTTGCAATCAAAGTTTAATGCAACATTGGTGGAAGGGGTATAAAATACAGCTGCGTTAAATGTTCAGCCTTTTTGGAGCAGGGTAATAGAAAGAGAGAGAGAGAGAAGAAGGGTACATGAAGGTATCTTTTTTGGTAGGTTGGAGAAAAAAGCAGAGATTCGGTGGTAAATCAGCACATACGAGTGCTATTTTTGCTATGCTATTGTGAGCTTATTGAAAATAGCTCAATAATATAACCATTCTAATTTTTAATAAATAATATTTCATTCTAACTTTCTGAAAAAGAATATGTTTTCATCAGCAAATCCTATTTGCTAATTTTGTGTTCTCAACGTTTCAAGTTATTCTGAATAATCTGCCACTAAATTTTTCAATGACAACGTTTTTACTGTATTAAAATATTTATCGCAAAGTTCATTTTATCAAGCAAAGATAAGCCCGAAAAGTCATTGAATCACTTGTCGACAATGTTCGAGAAAATTACACTTGATCTTCAAGAAATGATGGAAAATCAATCTGAAATTTGTATGTTTTCAGTTTCAGATGAAGGCGAGCAAAACCCAATAATTACATTGTCCATTAAAGAGTGTGAAAGAAATAGAGGAATTGAAAGAAAATTAAAAAAACAAGAACTTTGCATCAGACTAGGTAAGATGTATATATATATATATATATATATATATATATATATATATATATATATATATATATATATATATATAAGTAGAGTTTTGAACAATGAATCCAATGATGATAAAAAACCGAGAAATTTTATATACCAAAGTTTGTTGGTTCTTCTTTATAAGTAAATACTTATTTCATAAAATATATTAAATTTTTATTGTATTTTTGTATTTATGATCAAAAGAAGCAAATACAATATTATTCTCAAAATTTTGATTTGTTTATTGCTAATTTAAGGAAAGTTTTTAAGGAATTTTATCTATGTTATTTTCATATATATATATATATATATATATATATATATATATATATATATATATATATATATATATATACTCAGTACAATATACTCAGTATATTGAATGACTTGTAAAGGATAACACATAGAGTGTTGTTTGTTCATATTTCTAAATTGATATACACCTAAGTCTGTTTTTACACGGTCTTTTTGTACACGGTTTTGATATAACACGGTTTCCAAATTGAATATTTTTAATTTTTTGACACGATTTTATTTCATTTAGCACGATTTGGAATTTTATGTACTTAATTTTTTTTGTCAAATTTAATTTTTGCGAAGTATGTTCATATCACAAAAGAGTATTTATGAAAGAAAAAGGTCTGAAACCATCGATAGTATCGATAGTTTGCGAACACTAGCTTAAAGATTTAAGTGAATTCCCCTTTAGCGCGTACAAACATTTTTACTGGTCAAAGCAAATGTGAATAGCACTAATTTAATTTGTTCTTAAAAATTCTTGTTTTTCACCAATTTTAATAGTTTTAGAGATTAAGAAACAAATCACCCATTTTTGTATAAGATCATGTCTTTTTTTACACGTTTTTTTTTTTACACGGATTCTTCTGGAACCAATCTCCGTGTAAAAACAGAATTAGTGTATATATATATATATATATATATATATATATATATATATATATATTGATATGATTTTCAGCCAGTCGTCGAAATAAAAGAAACAAATAAATACAAAATATTTATTTAAAATATGCGTTTCGACACGGATTGTGTGTCATAATTCAGCAAATCTTTGCTAACAGTGTCTAAAAAAAAATTTACAAAGATTTTTTTAAAAAAAATTATAAAATATACATACCACACCAGGAAAAACACACAAAAACACATTGTTTTATAAAATAATTACATAGGTATTAAAAATATAAACTAACAATATTAATTGAAACATGTTTTTCTTTTGATTTCAAAACTGAACTTTTAATGCAGTTTTGTACGCAACGACTGCAACGCCAACGAGAACCACGTGACACACAGAAGGGAAGAAAGTTGATTTTCAGGGAATGTTAAACCGTGAGGACAAAAAGTTGGAAAAAAAAACTTATCAAATAAACATGAAACAAAATAGTCAACAATTTGGAAAATTATTTATTTTTTTGAAAAAATTGATAATATTATGATAAGAGTCGTGTACTAGAAAAGCAGAATTTTGTTTATTAACGCAAAGGGGGTTTAAAAAAATAAAAATAAATAAATATTTTGTATTTATTTGTTTCTTTTATTTCGATGACTGGGTGAACATCATATCAAGACATGTCTCAACGTCGAACAAAAAATCTTAATTATTATATATATATATATATATATATATATATATATAATCTTGATAGTTTTTTCGACGTTGAAACATATTTCAAAGTAATTGGCAGCCCATTCGTCGAAATAAAAAGGTATAAAGTATAAAAACTTTTATTTACACGTTTCGACACAAGATGCGTGTCATCATTCAGCAACACAGGACAAAAACACTCAACAAAAATTTATTTTAAAAAATTAAACTTAATAACATATTAGAGAAAAAAAGCATTTTTTAGAAAAAAATTATGTATAACTAAAAGATTTGAAAACTAATTTTACTAAAAGTTATGAAATACATCATTGTGAAGCTAGAAGCACGCCCATACCGAGCATCTAGACTCGACTGAGTCATAAATTTTGCCATTGTTCAAAAGGGAGAAAGGGAAAATTGAATTTTTCGGCCTTACGTCTATGCAATGTTATAATCCGTATGTATCATTATATTATCATATTATATTATTATATTATATATATATATATATATATATCTTTTTATATATCATATTATATATTATATATATTATATTATATCATATTATCATATTATAACTTTACTCATTTACACACACACACATTTTATTCTTCATACTATATATGTACGTGTTAGGCATTTATTATTTAACATTATGAGCAACATGTTGAGGTATAATTTAGCATTTCTGTGTATTCAAATTTATTGAAAATCATTTTCAGAAGCTGTCCAAAAAAACTTCGAAGGATTGACAAAGAAAAATATTATGTTGCATTTGGGAATTGTTTTAGCACAATCTGGAGACAGGGGTGGTAGAAGAAGAAAAAAAGTATGTTATAGCAAAGAAGTTATATTGAAAATACTACAATCTAAGATATTACATATACCATTATGTGCAAGTTTTAATTTTTAATACAAATTTATTTTGCACGATCAATAATTATGATTACTGATGGAGATTATTTAATTTCAAATTTGAATTATAATTTAATTTGAGTAATAAATTGTATTTTTCATGAATATCACACATTTTCATTATTCTGATATGTTTAATCATTAATAATCATTTGCACAGTGAAGATTTATTTTTATAAAACAGCTTTAATGATCATTACTGCGTTGCTCCTATTATAGCATGTCCATTATATACTAACCTAATAATATACCCTTTATAATTAATTTGACAGATTATTATCATATTATTTGCCTTACTTTACTAAATCACAATACAAACAAAAACTTACTTATTGAAAAAATTATTTAGAAGTTTCATTGTGTCAAAAAATCATATGTTTGGCATTGGATACGGAATATTTACTCAAGTCAATGGAGCATTTTGTGCTAGATTTTTTTTTACTGTGCTCCAATTTGCATGAAATTTTGAAATTAGGTTCATCTTACTCTCCCGTTCAAAAGTGAAAATAATTTAGACTCTTTTGCCACTTCCCGGGGGGATGACATTTCTTTTCATCGGTATCGATAAAAGAATTAATTATAAGAGAAAAATGTTTAATAATGTTTTTCAAAAAAGCAAATACTTTTCAAGTTACTGGCTACTGAAAATTTGTTCCTTTTTTGCATTTTTCACTTTTTTGCCAACATCTTCAAAAATATACCTTTTAACGAAAATCATGTAATGATCAGAATTATATCAATTAAAATCTTAGTAAATCTTAGTGTTTTATAAAGTGTTCTAGGAACAATATTAGACTCGATATCAAAATTTTGTAGTGCTCAAAATAAGCTTTAAAATGCGTGTAAAATGAGTGAGCTATCATGCAAATAAAAGACGCATACCATATTTTTCATTTAAATCAAATAGTTTATGAGTGCCATTTCCATCAAAATTAAAAATAATCGTATTCCATCTGGAATTAACTTGGTTTAAGAGATGTTGATGGATTCTGGAAAATACCATAACTTTAATACAAACGATTTTCAAACAACAACAAGTTCTAAAGTTTTTCAAGTAACAATTTTTGGTTACATTCTAGTGTGTACAGATTAACTAACGTCTAAATACTGAATGAATTCACTCAGTATATGTGATGTATATTCTTTCGGGGAAAAAAAATAAGATATTGATTTTAAAAGCGCATGTAATGCCCATAATTTTATATGGAATAAATACTTGGAGTCAAACAACTAAAGCTAACTTAAATGATATACAGAGAATAATGAACAAAGCCATAAAAATATCGTATAATTTTATGGCCCACCAAATACTTACAAACAGAATCGAATATTCATTCACTAAACAACATAATAAAAATAGAGAAATGCAAATTAATACACAAAATGAAATATAACAGAATTAAAACAAGTACAACAATAGACACAAATCAAGATATACATGAACACTACACTAGACAACAAAAACAATTTTCACATTGAACACAATAGAAACTAGTGGTGTATGGCATCGTGCCTTAAGGCAAATTGCTGGAACTTCCCGTACCGTAATGAAATATTCAAGGAAAATTAAATCAAATCGATTAATCGATTAAAATAATAATTATAATAATTATTATAAATACTGTAACTTATATATGTTTATAAAAAAGTAAATAAACAAAGCTTAATCAATCAAATTTAAAATGAAAAACATTGTTTAATATTTATGAAAATTATACAAACTGAATAATATAAATAAAAAAAACTAAAAGCAAACATTTCGTTAACACAAGCAGAAAGTTCAAATCGAATGCTGATCTCTCAAAAACTCATTTTTTGCATATTGTCCTCGGTATCTCCGAAACGACTGGACCTGCCTTTGCCAAAAACTAATCACCATTTCTCCTCGTCATTATATATTAAATGTTTTTTGGATCATTCAAATTGAATGCTCCGTTCTCTCAAAAACTCGATTTCTATTTTCCGCACGCTTTGCTCCGTATCTCCGTAACGGCTGGACCTGCCTTTGCCAAAACTAATCAGCACATCTCCCTATCAATAGGAATTGAATGTTCACACACACACCTCCATTTTTTCTCAGGTATGCCAAAATGTTCAGAAACCTTCAAAACACAGAAAAATGCAAAAAATTTCAATTTCGATTTTTAGACGATTTTTTCAAATAATTTCAAAAAATAGAAAAAAAATTAAAGCTTTAAAAAATTTATTTCCAGCAATTGCGAAAGTTCCAGCAATTTTCCACTAGTTTGTATTTTCTTTGGAATAAATAGAATAATATCTAAGTATATCTAAGTATGCGATTCGTTGCTTCGATATACGAGCAAAATTAGTTAAACAAGCAAAAAAGAGTTATCCAGAAAAATGTTAATGGCGAAATATATTTCATAAAAATATGAAAAATTCCGTCAGTTGTAATAAAGATTTTCCTATAATAGAAATATTTTGGATGTTTCATAATAGTAAATTATTTTATAATAAGTATACTTGAAATTATAGTTTCAATTATACATTAATATTAATTATGTAATAACGATTTACACATGAGAATATATTGAGAATTATTTTAAAGTTTGAAATTTTGACTATACATTAATAGTGATTGTAAATTAGATATATTGATTTGCGTTTTTTGCTTTTTGTACATTTACAAAATATTATGTACTACAATGTCTCTTGAATTAAAGCATGAAATTGTTGAAAAATATGAAGATGCCGAGGATGTACGAGCATAGGACATCATAGACATTTAAACAGAAGGAGTTGTTAAAAGGTATAACTCTTGCTAAGGAGTAATTCCTGAATAACTCCTGAGCTCTAAAAAGTTGTAGATGCAATGCCGAAACGAATTAATGGCATTTCAATATATTTATAAAAGAAAAATTGCTTAGAGATACGGCCGATTCGACATACGAGCGTGGTTACAGAATGAATTAAACCCGCATATCGGAGTACCATTGTTAAACTTTTCTTTAAAACATTATGTAATTTGTTTATAACAAACCTTTTTAATAACATCGTTTATACAAGTAGTTGGATCACTATTATCCAAATTTACTCCACAACCCACATTACAAACAGTGATGTCCGAATCTAAAGTGCTGGTTACAACAAGGCCACCAATTTTTACTGCACCATGAGCATATATGTCATTTGGCCATTTCAGACCAATATCAAGGTCCTATAAATTTAACAATTGATAGAATGAGAAGTTTAATTTCTAGAATGAAAATAATTTCATCAATTTCCTTTACCTCATATCCAGGCTGTGATAAAACGGCTGATACTACGGCTGTAGCCACCAAATGCTGAACTACTGGTGCTCGTTGCCCTAGTGGTGAATCAGATGGCACATGTAGTTGAACTGAAAACATAGCACAACCATCGGGAGATAACCATTGATTTGCGGAGCGACCCGAACCCTATGTAATTTAGAAAAAAATTCAAAATGTTTTATAAACTAAACAAAATCAGAATCGATTATCAATTAAAGCTATTCAATTGAAAGTGTAAGTTTACAGAAAGATTCTTAAATGAATAATACTAGATTATTAAAAATAATCAGGACTATAAACTCAAATACACACAATTCAAAGTTTACATACCTCAAAAAAATTGGAAGGCTGACATTGAAAGAAAATCATGTGTTTATATTTACAACTTAATTATATAAAAACATTTTTCACAAAACTATTTTTTTGTTAATATAAATTCAATACCTTAGTTTGGAATCTTGGTATAACTACAATACCATGTTGAAGTTTTACACCAGATAAAACGTCCTGAGAACTAGTCATGACTGATGAATAGATAACCAACCGCCCCACATGTTCAGACTTCAAATTCTGCCAAAAATAAAATTAATAAGTACTCTAATTAAACATTTATAAAAATATAAATATAAGTTAGTTACACCAAAGTATTCAATTGTACTAAAATTATCTGGACAGGAATGTACTCTGATCGGCAACATATATTGCGTGGCTGGAGGTGGGGTTTCACCTGAAATGGTTTAAGTTTTATGAATAGTTAATTAGTGATTTTATTTGATTTGTTTTTTGCTCACCTAAACCACAAAATCTCAGCGTCAATTTGGATGTTTTGAGTGATTGGTTGGAATCCATCATTGATTCCAGAAATTTAAGCAGAGACAGTTTTAACTGTAATTGAAATTATTTGCATTATTTATTATTTTTAACGTTAATTATAAAGATGAATATTTAACATATCCAATGACACCTTCATTATAAATTAATTAAAGGCACACATTAAGATTAAATATCTCATTGAATGAATGACTCACCTCATGTCTGCCCAAAAAGAAGGCATGCGTGTAACTTTCAACCGGAGACTTGATAGAATCAGCCTTATTCTCAGAACACTGAAGGTTTAGGTGTCTGCCTAAAATATCTCTTAAAATTTCCAAACGAGCTTCATTGCTTTCCTTCAAAACTGAATACTTTGCTTCTTCTGATTCATACTGTGTGGGATCCACTTCCAAATGTACCTAATATGTAAAAAAGTAATAAATGTAAAAAATGTTAAAATGTTAAACTGCATACATCCTTATGGATTTGCTAAAAATCGTGCCTTAAAGCAAATTGTTAGATTAAGATTTTTAAGAAAGCCTTAAAAAATTTTTAAAACTGAAAAAATGAGATCTTCGAAAAATTTTGAATTGTTTGATTTTTTTTTATTATAGTTTGAATTTTTTGGACTTCATAACTTCCCATATGGCAAGTTATAATAATGAGCCAAAAATCGAAGTGAAATTTTTTGCATGTCTTCACGTTTTAGATGTTTCTGAACATTTTGTCATACATCAGAAAAAATGGATATGTTTGTTTTGTGTGTCATTAATTTTTGGCAAAGGCAGGTCTAGCTGTTTCGAAGATACAGAGCTAAATGTGCAAAAAAAAATTTTTTTGTGTATCGAAAATGGTTTCATGTTATTTTTAATTCTGACAAAAGTTTTAATATACTTTAAACAAATAATTTCAAGTTTGCAATTCAGTTTATATAATTTTTATAAATATTAGACAATGTTATAGTATTAATAATAATCTATTTGAAAACATTTAAAATACCTCGAACATTTCGTTACGGTACGGAAAGTTACAGCAATTTGCCTTAAGACACGATGCCATACACCACTAGTTAATTTTAATGTTCGGTACAGGAAGTTCTAGCAATTTGTCTTATAGCACGATGCTATGCACCGTTAGGACTAACTAAAGTTGGAGATTGACAACCGGATATTAAAAATAAGTTTTTTTGAAGTTAAAAATAAGTCCATAAGTTTTAGAAAATCTGAATCGTTCTTGTCGACAAGAACTGTTTTAGTAATGCATTTGTGAACAATTATTATTAGGAAATAATTAGGAACATTCCAAATACATTCCACTGAAGATGATACAAAGCAATGTGTCTAAATGTATGGAAACAATAAAAATGGTAAAAGTTCCTACATGTTTTTAATTGATGTATTGCCCTGAAGATTGAATCTCTCACATTTCAACATCAAAATTATTAAAAATTTTACATATGCATATATATATATATATATATATATATATATAAGTATATTTATATTTTGTTATAGTTATAATGTGGTAATCATACCTGACTAAAAACAGCTCTTCCAATGGAAGATGCACTCAATTTATTATTCTGATCGGGCAGTGCTGTGGCCAACAATAAACTAGGCGTGTGCCATGTTTCTTCTGCACCCAAAACCTCAACCGATAACTTATGAGGTCGTCCATAAGAATCACGAACTTCTATTGAGGACGGAGCTCGTGGTTGAACAGAAGAACTTCTATTAAATAAGAACGTGTTCATTTATAGATACAAGCATTTAATGGCAATTAAAATTACCCTTGAGATTGATTATTTTCTTCAATGGAATCATGCATGAAATGCTTTCGTGCTGGTGAAGCCTGATAACAAAATATATGATGCATCATTCGAACATTTTGCCATCTGCCATAAGAGAAACGGACAAGCTCGTGCTCGCGTACCTAAAAGTGTACTTTAAATTTTAAAATATAAAATTTTAATAGTTAATAACTGATCTGTTATGTACCTCTGCAGTTTTGTACGTGGGAAGCACTGTATGTATCAAATCTGAACACAAACACAGCAGTTTTCCACCTTTTAGTAAATAATTCAATAATCTAGGAGCAACATCTGAAGAAACGGTTCCGCAAACTATGACTAGCAAAGCATTGTCCATCCAAGTGTCCGTCATGACTTGTGGTTTAGTTAGAGTATATATTGTATATCTGATAACAAAGAAATAAATGTTAAATTCCAGAAAACAATATAATAAGGTAAAAAGGTTATCCTCTTTACCATATAATAATAATAATAAAACAATGTAATACTTATTTTTCTGCAATATACTCTTCAGAGCACTCTTGACATTATCAACAGCTACCAAACTTTCAGAAAACACCAATATATTTGGTGGTTTAATCTTTCCTGCATATTTCCTTAATTCAAGTGTTTCATCAGATATTTCCACTTGGCTCTTGAAAGTGACCGATTTTGGTGACCCTGTCATTTTCGAAATACTTTGAGATCTAATTTCTTCATCAGTCTGTATAGGCCTTTGTTCTAAATCTCTTATGGTTAAAACTGGTTCTGGGAGTATTGTAGATCTATGAGTTCCATTTTTAAGGATTTTTGGACTAGATGTAAGTGGTTCATTTAGAGTCGTTTTACTAACTTTAAATCTGTCTGAAGGTTTGGCAATTAAAGGCTTTTTAACATCCTGTACTTCTTCATGTTTAAGTATACTCGTTTTGGTCTCTTGAACAGGTGCAGGTTCTGGGACAACTTTTTCATGTTCTTCCACCTGTTTCATTTGTTGGCTCGTACTAGACAAATCATTTTGCAATTCTACACATTCTACTTCATCTTTGAGCTTAACATTACTCTCTATATCATAAGTATTGTCACTAAGCTCCTTAAACATAGAGGCATGTAGTAGTAGATTATCAGTGTTTAATACATTTTGCAAGATGCATTGTCTTGTTCGGTCATTGCTTTGAATGCTTTTTGGTTTTCCATCAACATCAACAGCTGTAAAATAATATGATAGATGATGATAGATATATAAGATTTGTTTGGTGTATTAGAAATGACAATACACAACCGTCATACGCATGCGCACACCGATTTTGTTCGTTCGGCGGGTGCCAATATGAATTCCAAATGTTGTAGATCTTAAACTTCCAGAAGGATAAGTTTGTTTTCGCAAATAAAAAATCGATTCAGTTTTACGTTTTCGCGACGTTTCAAGTCGTTCTGAATCGAATAAGGCCAAATTTGTAAAAAAGAGCGCCGATTTTTGACCTTTCGTCGACGTTTTCCTAAATGGCTGAGCCGACGTCACAAATTTAAAATCCATTCTATGTAACTCGATAAGGACTAAAGTTTGTAACTCTTGTGCGACGATTGGCAGAGCCGTTTCTTTGTAATTAGCCGAAAAGTGTAAATTTTTTGGTCGACGTCTTAGCCTACAATTTTGAACTTAGCGAAGTTTATAATTCTTCAAGGCATTTTGCCTTAAGGCACGTTGCTTGAACTTTCCGACATGTATAAATTTTTTACTTAATTATTAATAAATGAATATGTATATTACTTTATGAGTAATTTATAAGTATGCCAAGTGGCTATATGATTTCATACTGTGAAAAATTATTGCCAATTATTCAATTCAGTACAATTTTCCAGATTATTGAAAATCGAACTATTAGTATCTAATACAACTCGGAATAGTTTCTAAAAGCACTGCCGAATAATTAAAATATAGATAAATTTATATAATTGAACCACTTTTTGCAGGACTATAATTTGTCAATTATTTTTAACTAAGACCAGGTTCTTTATCGCCATACCATCAAGTACCATTAAAATCATCGAATGTTTTTTAACAAACAATTGCGAGAAAATGACCTGACCGATCTTAGTCCAAAAATAGTAATCAGCACTGTTCTCAAATAACATCTGTAGAAAAGTATTTGAATTTTCAAAATCGGATCAGATGTTTTGGCTAAAACGCTGCAAAAAAATTTTGCACTTTTCTGCTAATTTTGAAGAAACGGCTCATCCGAACGTACCAACAACAACCAACGCGAGAGCTTACCAAGTTTAATCGAACGGCTTGTAAATTTTTAAAATCAGTAAAGCCGTTTTTGAGAAAACGATGAAGAGTCTAACTTTAACAACAAACGTCAAAGAACGCTACTGATTTCAAACTTTGATGAATTTTAAAAATTAAATGACTTATCGTAGGCCCCTAATATTTAAGTATGTTCTTTAGGACCATAATATGTAATAATATATAAAGTATCATAAAATTCATCTTTTTTTTTAACATTTAATTACGAAGAAACGGCTTAGCCGGCTATATTGAATGGCTTTTAAATTTTTGAAAACATACAAAACACACACACTTTTCCAAATTTGGTCTTATTCGATTTCGAATGACTTGATACGTCGAGAAAACATAAAATTAGCAAATCGGATTTTTTGCGAAAACAAACTTCTCCTTCGGGAAGTTAATAATGATATGATAGAAGGGAAAACAAATATGTACAGACTAGTCTAACTCAGTTAAATTAGGATTAGTCTAATTCAGATTTCACTAGGTTAAAGACTCTGACTAGTTCAATGTTAGCTCTAAAAAAAATGTAGCAAAAATAAAGCGAGAAATTGCAAATGTTAAACAATGTGTGATACCTAAGTTTTCAATACCATAAATCTTGTACATGAAACTCACTTTCTATTCTCAGTAATTCCATGCCTCCATTTATGTAAATGTCTCCTTTTAAAAATTTCTGAGCAAGTTCTGTCAACTGTTGCAATGTGGAAGACAGAACCATGCAGAAGGTTTTATCAAAATGCCATGCAATTAGTGATCCATAATGCTGCAACTGGTTTTAATAAAAAGCATTCGTTAAAATACATTTGAGGAGAAAAAATTACAAGTTAATAATTGCATGAATATAAATCAAATAAAATATACAGATGTATGTATTTTAATAGCTGACAAGGAAGCAAATATCATCAATATAATGTAGCAAAATTCAAGTATGTATAGTATTTGACTTGAAATTTGTATTATTTATGAAATGGAAAATTATTGCCACCTAGCTTCTTAGATAGTAAAAATAATATAGGAATATATTTCATTTATTCTTACATCGAGTTTTTCAAATTGTTGTCCATTATATTCCTTTAGCTGAGCCTCTATTAATAGTTTTAAATCCTCAAACCGATTAAAAGTGCTTTCTGAGAGTGAAGTATCTTCTACAAAGAACATACATAATAACGCTATAATTAGTATGTTATATTGATATGAATTTTGAGCATTTTATGAAATTAGATCAGTTTAAATTAATAATGATAATTTACAAAAGCACATGAACAAGTTTGCAAGCAAATTGAGCGTTGCGATTTAATATATTTACACTATTGTTATTATAAGTTCTAGGTAATTACTATAGTAATATTATTTTGATAAAAATGAATATTAAATTTTGTATGTATTTCTAAAACAAATTCGTGTCCTCATTTGGCATAGAAATAAAAAAAACTAGTGGTACATGGCATCGTGCCTTAATGCAAATTGCTAGACCTCCCGTACTTGAAAACTTTTTAAATAAATGACAAAATTCTACTTGCTTGAAAATTTTGTAACCCATTCAAGTCAGTTGAACCGTACTGATGTGAAAATGTCGAAATCATTTGTTTGAACTATTTAAGTAAAGTATAAACACTATAAATCTTAGTGCAGAACCAATAAAAACTAGCTGTAAGTGGAATTCTGTCTTAAGGCAATTAAGGCATCGTGCCTTAAGGCAAATTGCTGGAACTTCCCGTACCAAAAATTTTTTTTTTTTTAAAAACGATTAACATTTTTGAAAAAAAAAATTACTTTGAAAAAATAAGATTTTTGAGAAACTATAATTTGGACAAAAAATTACTTTTTTTTGAAAAAAAATTTTTTTTTAATTTTTTTTTTGTTTTTTTTTTTTGAAAAAAAAATTTTTCTTTATTTTCACATATTGTGGAAGATCTGAACTTTTTTTCAAAGCAATCGTACTGCTTTAACTGCATAGAGACAAAATATAAAGCGCGTAAGCGCCGCGTCGCTGTCTAACGGGTAAACATTGGTACGGAACCCATAGGAATGTAAACAAAATTCATACTTATTGTTAAAATCTCTATAAAATATCTGATAATTTGATGTGCATATGTCTAATGATCATTTTTGACCGCCAAATGGCTCATTTTTTTACTTTTGCCTCCATATCTCCGAAACCGCTAGACCTACCTTTATGAAAATTTTATCGATTCTTCATCTTGTCAATACAAGTAAAACGTTTTTTGAATTATTCAAATCGGACGCTCCGTTCTCTTAAAAACTGAGTTACCGTTTTCGGCACTTTTTGCCCCGTATCTTCGGAACGGCTAGACCTGCCTCTGCCAAAAACTAATCAGCACGTCTCCTTATCAATACGAATCGAATGTTTTTTGAATTATTCAAATCGGTTGATCCGTGTTCCCGAAATCGTCGACGAAAATTTGTATCCGCACATACATACACACACGTACATACATACACACACACATACACACACACATACACACACACATACACACACACACACACACACACACACATACATCCATTTTTTCTAAGGTATGCCAAAATGTTCAGAAACCTTTAAAACGTAAAGATATATAAAAATTTTCATTTTCGATTTTTTTGCGATTACTATAACTTGCCCTACGGGAAGTTAAAAAGAAGTTGAAATGTCATATTGAGCGCTAGTAAAATATATAATGAATTGTCAAACGATATTAAGATGACCAATGATGGCGACAAATTTGAAAGAAAAATAAAGAAATATTATAAGGAAATTGAAGATTGAATAGATATTTTAATTATAATGAATATTATATTGTAGTATAATGAAATAGACAAATATTTGTCTATGGAGCAGGATCAGAACCAACTCCGAACCACCACCCAATATCATTTCTTTTCAATATATATTTATTTATATATTATTTTCATATCTGTCAGACAGGGGTATCTGATATGAGAGATTATGAAACAGTTTTCTTATTTTATATACTTATACATATCATATGATATGTATAAGTATCACTATTATACATATCATATGATATGTATAAGTATATAAAATAAGAAAACTGTTCCATAATCTCTCATACCAGATACCCCTGTCTGACTGAGATGTGAAAATAATATATAAACTAGTGGGGTGGGTGGCATCGTGCCTTAAGGCAAATTGCTGGAACTTCCCGTACCGTAACGAAATGTTCGAGGATTCTTGAATGTTTTCAAATAGATTATTATAAATATTGTAACATTGTCTAATATTTATAAGAATTATATAAACTGAATTGCAAAGTTGAAATTATTTGTTTAAAGTATATTAGAACTTTAGTCAGAATTAAAAATAAAATCTGAATTATTTTCGATATACAAAGAATTAAAAAAAAAAAATCCAAAATCAATTATTTTGCCAAACCAAGCAGAAAGTTCTTTGAATCAATTGAATCGGACGTTCTCTCAAAAACTGCTATTTTTTGTACATTTTGCTCTGTATCTCCGAAATGACTGAGCCTGCCTTTGCGAAAAACTAATAACCCCTTCTCCCAATCATTACTAATTGAATGTTTTTTAGATCATTCAAATCGGATGCTCCGTTCTCTCAAAAACTCGATTTCTATTTTCTGCATTCTTTGCTCTTTATCTTCGTAACTGCTAGACCTGCCTTTGCCAAAAACTAATCAGCACATCTCCTTATCAATAGCAATCGAATGTTTTTTAAACCATTCAAATCGGTTGATCCGTACGCCCAAAAACGTGGGCGAAAATTTGTATCCATACATACATACACACACACACACACACATCCATTTTTTCTGAGGTATTCCAAAATGTTCAGAAACTTTCAAAACGTGAAGAAATGCAAAAATTTTCATTTTCGATTTTCGGCCCATTACTATAACTACAGAAAGTTAAAAAAGAACAGGGCTTCAATATTTCTCCAAAAAAGTGTTATCATTTTTATTTTAAACAAGATATATAATAAAAATATCAATGTGGCGCCCTTGAATAATAAGTGTGATTAGAAAACGAATAGCATTTTATTTCATAGAAAATTATCAGCAAATTTACAAAAACAGATCGAGATCAATCTTCAAAATGAATTGCCGTGTCAATTTGAAGAAGAAGCTGCCCGAAGATAATATGGAGGAACCTTAGAACTACCACAACCTTATATGAACAGAATAGTAGAATCACTTATTGAAGTGATTCTCTAAATATGATTGTAATATTGATCCGATGAATTTATATGTGTGTTTGAAAGTGTGTGTGTATGTGTATGAGTGAATGACATAAGCCAAATAGCTCATAGAATAGTCATGTATTCTGATTGCTATTGAAAATAAAAATTAAAAAAAAAAAAAATCGGGTTTAAAATTCTGACATTCTGAAAAAATTGCCGCCCCTCAAAGTATGCCGCGCTAGGCCCGGGCCTATGGGTTAATCCAGCAGTGCTTACTCATCTCAGATTATTTGACTACAAGCAACATAGACTTTTTATTAAAAAGGAATTATAATAACATATTTATTAAGGAAATATGCGACCTATTACAAAAACCATTTTGTCCATATAGTACGGACAAAATAACATGTAAGATAAGCACATTCTGAGGTACTATTCTTTAACAAGTTTTAATAAAATCGCCTTTTTTTGCCAAAATCAATTACAAAGAAACGATCCGACCGATCTTTTCCAAGAACTAATATACGCGATTATCTAATGATATCCTTAAATTTGCAAGATCGGTTGAAGTTTTTTTTATGAAAGCTGAACGCACTATGCACTATTTTGCACCGAAACTAAGTAACGAAAGTGCTTATTGAGTTTGTTTGGATGGCTTTTTAATTTTCAAAATCGATTCAGCGGTTTTTGAGAAAACACCGATGAAAGTCAAATTTGACTTATGTCAAAAAAGCGCTGCTGAAAAAATTCAAATGTTGATAGATTTTTCAAATTAAACGACCTGACACAGAGCTATAATATTTAAAAACCGCGATCTCTATTGCGAAAAAAAGTTTGTATAAATTGCTGACAAAAAAACACAACTATCAAAATTTTTTGCTAATTACAAAGAAGCTGAAAATAATAAACGCAGGTCCCGATCGAATTACATCGAACGGCTATCAAATTTTTGACGCTATATATATAAATAATTTAATAATGATATTAAAGAATTAGCAACTTTGATTTATTTATTTGTTTATTTAGGAATTATTTATATATAAAATAAATGAATACCAAAATAAAATTTCAAATGTGTCATTAAAATTATATTTGTACAAACACATTCGTGCTAAATTAATTTGTGATTATTAAATTAAGTCTTATATGATCTTCAAACTAATAGTAGCATGGGGGATGGTGATGAAAATAAAGAATGTGCCGTGAAGCAGTTATGGACCAAGAGAAAAACCACTACCCATCGTGGACGAACTTTGAGTCCTAAAGATCTCGAAAGAAAGCTAGAGACTCGCAAAAAATTATGCAGCCTACGTAAAATTCTCAAGGAAAATTCTTCAGGTTGTGATATTAAATGGAGCCTTTTTGTTTCGGCATGTAACAGTTACTTTTATGAGGAATCAGTAAATCCTTTTCCTCCCGAATATGTTAGACGGCACACTGGTAAAGACATCGAAGCATTGTTACGAGTTATAGGAGACACACCATCTTTTTCGTTAATTTTAGAGCAGAAAGGTGATCGTTACATATGTCCTTTAAAAAGATCGGTAATAGACTTGTTACATTGGTTGTTAGTTGAAACCAGTGAACCGATAATAAAACTAACTGATTACGACGAAGCTGAGTCAGTAATTGGCTTTATTTCTAGTCAATTAGCAATACCAAAACCAAATTTAATTTTTCGAGTGCAGTACTCACAAAATAGTGAAGAAGAGAAACGCTGGAAGTTAATCGCTAAACGAACCCAAGCAGTACATTTATGCTACGGTAACAAACTAGAATACTTTTACACGGTACTTCACAAAGGTATGAAATTAGTAGTCAATGAATCAAGATCTACTGATTCTGGAGTATATCTTTCTAACGACATTTGCGACGCCATAGGCAAAAGTCCAACGGGATTCGGTTGGGGTGGCAGCGCCTTTGGTGCTCGATTATGTTGCGTGGCCGTGTGCGAATTAGCCGATCACGACCAATTCATGTGCTGTATAAAATATCCCGAAAATAAAGTAACCAAAGTTCCATCTCAGATAATAAAGCATTACAACGTACATAGACCAGATCTAGCACGAATTAGGTACCTTTTGATATATCGCACCAACGATAATAATGAGGAAGATCATGACGCTCAATCTAAGAAGGGTATGCTGAATTGGATGAAAAATCATAAGTTTGCAACGCTAATGGTGTGTTATAGTATATTATTAGTGAGCACAGCTATAACTGATCTTTACTTTTTGTAAATAAAAAATGATGTATTTTCATAATATAACGTGGTATTAGCATATTCATAAAATATACGAGAATGCTAATATGTAATAAAAATTTGGGAGTTTGGATTTTGAAATATATCGTTATAAAACGAAAATGTTTTCTTTTATAAAAAACTGCACCTGAAATAATATTGAAATACCTATTGATTTTTAACATGTAAGCTTTTTTAAGAGTTGTATAAACTAGTTGGTATTGGTATTTTGCTTTGCTCCGATATGTGTAAATAATCGACTTAATCAATAAAAAAATAAATTAACTTATGAGTGATTAAAAGTATTCCGAATGGATTTATTACATATAATTGAAAACGAATGATCACGTTAACTCGGAATATTTTGTAAATGCAATTTTTTAAAAATCAATAATTTTTATAATTGAACCAGTTTCCGTAGAACTTTAATTGTTTAGTAAGTTCATTAAGACCAATTACTCTATCGTTATACCAAGTAAATCGTCTAATTTTAATTTTAATCAACCTCAAAAAACTTCTCATTTTCTCAAACTTTGATGAATTTTTGAAATTAAACTACTTGCGGTAAGGCCGTAATATTTCAGTAAGTTCTATAAAACCATGATATATATCGTTAAAAAAAAGTTCCATAAAAACCGGCTTCTGTTTTTTCAACAGTTAATTTCAAGAAAATGGCACGGTAGATTTTCACCTAAAACTAATCAGCATCATTCCCAACTAATATCTTTCGAACAGTTTTAACTTCCCGTAAAATCTCCCTTCCAATTAATTTTATAACAGTGATGACAGATACAAGATTATATGGAGCTCTTTACATTTACATCAAATTTAATAATATAAAATTATAAATGCAATATACATAAAACAATGATATATATGTAAGAGATAGTGTAGATATTATGTAATTTAGTATATGGCTAATGTACCAGTTTATAAAGCCAATAAAATAATAAAAAAAAAACTTCCCGTAGGGTAAATTATTGTAATCGTTCAAAAATCGAAATTGAAATTTTTTGCATTTCTCGACGTTTTTGGAGGTTTCTGAACATTTTGGAATACCTCAAAAAAAAATGGATGTGTATGTGTGTGTGAGTGTGCGTGTGTGTGTTTTGTGTGTCCGCATTTTTTCGTCCACGTTTTCGGGCGCACGGATTAATCGATTTGAATGGTTCAAAAAGAGATAAAGAGCAAAGAGTGCAGAAAAAAGAAATCGATTTTTCGAGAGAACGGAGCATCCGATTTGAATGATCTGAAAAACATTCAATTAGTAATGATTGGGAGAAGTGGTGATTTTTGGCAAAGGCAAGCCCAGCCATTTCGAAGATACAGAGGTAAATGTACAAAAAATGGCAGTTTTTGAGAGAAATAAGCATCCGAATTGAATGATTCAAAAAACTTTCTGCTTGTGTTGACAAAACAATTGCTTTTGGAAAAAAAAATTCATTTTCTTTAATTTTTTTATCAAAAATAATTCAGATTTCAATTTCAATTTTGGCTAAAGTTTTAAAGCTCACATATATATATATATTAAATAAATATTTTTGACTTTGTGATTCAGTTAATATAATTCTCATAGATATTAGACAATGTTACTGTACTTATAATAATCTATTTGAAAACATTTAATATTTCTCGAACATTTCGTTACGATACGGCAAGTTCGAGAAATTTGCCTCAAGGCACGATGCCTTACACCTTCCCAAAAATTTAATCAGTTCTACATCTTGTCAATACAAATAATTTTTTTTTGAATTATTGAAATTGGACGTTCTGTTCTCTTAAAACCTGAGTTACCGTTTTTGGCACTTTTTGCCCCGTATCTTCGAAACGGCTAGACCTGCCTCCACCAAAAACTAATCAGCCCGTCTCCTTATCAATACGAATCGAATGTTTTTTGAATTATTCAAATCGGGTGTTCGTGCGCCCGAAATCGTGGACGAAAAATTGTATCCAAACATACACTCACACACACACACATACATCGCATACATCAATTTTTGCTAAGGTATGCCAAAATGTTCAGAAACCTTTAAAACGTGAAGATAAGCAAAAATTTTCATTTTCGGTTATTCGCGATTACTATATAACTTATCATACGGGAAGTTAAAAATTCAAAATGTTTCAAAAGTTATTTCAAACTTTTCAATCAATTTTAAATTACGGCACGGAAAGTTCCAGCAATTTGCATTAGCACGATGCCATGCACCACTAGTTAACATTTAATAATAAAAAAAATAATAAATATTTTTGATGTTATCGGTAATACAAAAACAAAAATCGTACAAACCGCGTTAACAATCATATGAATTGCTATGCTTGACTTCAACAAAGCAATTGAAATGCGCGCAAAGAGCATTTATTTGTATTAACATACTATGACAGCTTCCAGCAGTCACGTGCGATTTCACAGTCGCACGTGATCTTAGCAAAAGATAGTACTTCTCATTAGTAGAATACTGAACGTTTAACATTTAACATCGAGTTCAGAATTTTAGTTCGATTTACGGGGTACAACCCGCTTATTTTGTATCAAGGTATGTGGAATTCTAATATTGGACATTTGATTCAAATTATATATATATATATATATATATATATATATATATATAAATATATATACACACTTAACATATATTGTGTTAAATATATATCGTGTGTGACTTTGTGCTGTTTTGTTATAAGTGCTAGCAACATATATTAATTTTTTTCCAATTAATTATACTCTGCCTGGTTATGCATTCAGTAATTTTGGTAATAAATGTGAAGATATAACATTTTACAATGCTACTCACTGGTAGTCCTTTAAAGTTTGAAAACAAATGAGATAAGGATACAGAAAAGTAATAATAATATTAGAGTTTAACCACGCAAGGTCAATGAAACCTAATATTTCGTTAATTAATTTATCCAAAATCGTTATATAATTTCATTATATATACGGAATCTTAATGCAAATATTAACAAAAACAATGAATAATTTAAAAAATAATATATCACTATATATTATTTTACAAAAATCTAATTAATTTATGTACACGCCTAAATTACCTTCGTCAACACAGAAGTCACAAGAGCGATGTCACATGCCTCGCTAAAATGCACGAGGTACCACAACATATCAGTTTCGCAATTATTTTACTGTAAAAAAAAATAGTCTACGAGAGTTTATATATTCAAATTAGTGAGTATTTTTTCATTCTTATTGTTTAAATTTTATATTTATTTGCAAGGATTTGATAGAATCATACGAGTGCATAAGATTTAGTAAGGATCTGACAGAATTAAGGATTGCATAAGTTGTTGATGATTTCCGGTAGAATTACATGTCAATTTCGATAAAGATACTAATATTCATGTAATTAACTAATGTGACTAATGTTAACTTTCCGTAGGGTAACTTATAGTAATCGCAAAAAAATCGAAAATGAAAATTTGTATATATCTTTACGTTTCAAAGTTAGAGAAAATGAATGTATGTGTGTGTGTGTATGCGTGTACGTATGTGTGTGGGTGTGCGCGGATACAAATTTTTGTCGACGATTTCGGGAACACCGATCAACCGATTTGAATAATTCAAAAACATTCGATTTGTATTGATAAGGAGATGTGCTGATTAGTTTTTGGCGAACGGAGGCCTAGCCGTTCCGAAGATACGGTGCAAAAAGTGCCAAAAACGGTAACTCAGTTTTTAAGAGAATCGAGCGTCCGATTTTAATAGTTCAAAAAACATTTCACTTGTATTGACAAAATAAACAACTAATTAATGTTTTGGGAAGGCAGGTCCTGTGGTAATGGAGTCTCAATAAAAATAATTAAAAAAATGTCTATTGGCGGTCAAAAATGTTTATTGGACATATGAACATCAAATTATCAGATATTTTATAGAGATTTTAATAATTTGAACACATTTTGTGTAATTTTTTTGGTTCCGTACCAAGATTTTTAATTACGGTACGGAAAGTTCCAGCAATTTGCATTAAGGCACTATGCCATGCACCCCACTAGTCGATTTACCTAAAAATTAACATATATAATAACCATATAATAACTATTCTCAATGAAGATTAATATTTTAATGAAATTATTTTCTACTCGTATGTAGGATTTGACAGAATCAAGGGTTGTATAAGTTGTTGATGATTTCCGGAAGAATTACATGTCAATTTTAAAAAAGTGACTAATATTCATGTCATATTCTCATGAAAATTAGCATACATTTCATGGAACTATATACTTACTTTACTTACTTACTTTACTTTACGGTTACTTTTTAATAATTTTTGGTTTGTAAGGATTTGTTAGAATCA